CAGTGCTACCCTGTAAAGTATGACTGTCTTAACACTGCTGGTAATAACATGGGCAGATGGCATTTTGTTTTTGTTGGAGCTGTGAAAAGAAGTGTATTTATGGCAAGCTCTTTCTTGCAGTTCCTCTCACGTCCCGCTGTCTGCAGATACTCGGTTGTGCCAGCAAATCTAAAGTAACATAAGGAATCTCATTCGATTTGATTCACAGCAAGGAGAAAAGAGGGGCTGAGGCTTAAAAAAATAAAGAAAAAGACAAGCAAAAAAGATGACCCTTGCAGCAAAACGTTCAGTTGAGGCTGGTTGTTATGTGAAAGGGCTGTCCCTCTGTTGCCATAGCACATGCCTGGTAAAATGTGGCTTTGGGATGGAACCAGGGACATCGCTGGTCCCGCTGGTTTCACGCAGTCCGTCTGCTCCGGCACGTGGTTTAAGTGGCAGTTATGGTCTTGGAAAACTAACTGGGCAAACAGATACAGCAGACAAAAAGGTGAAAAGGGAAGGGAGACTTGGTGAATTGGGGAGAAAAAGGAGTTTGTCAGGACTCTTGAGCAGTTTGTGGCTGAGCTGGAAACAGCATTGTAGACTTTGACCTTTGCCAGTGCAAAAATTTCACTGTTTATTTAAAATTTGGGTCAAAATTTTTTGTTTTCAGATGAGCTTTACCATTAGTGAGGCTAGGCTGAAAGGATACTTTGCATGCAATGTTCTTTCCAGTTACCTTATGACAATTCTTTGTCACCTTTACTTTAAGCCCAGAAGAATTAACCTGTTCTCACTTACAGGAAGGTCTTTACATCTGGACAGAAAACAATGTCCAGAAAATAACACTGGAGATCAGGACTGTGCCTGGGCTTGCTCTAAGAAGCAAAAAAGACATTGCATACTATGTAATCTCCTAGTTCATTCAACCAAATCCATGAAATTCCCACATCTGCTTCCCTTCTTAGCAGTCCTGTCTTTGAGATATCTTTTGATAGCATCTCCGTCTCCCGTTCCAGGCAACATGCTAGCTTCAGTAGGCCTCCTTCCAAGAGCTGATAGTTGCAGCACTTGGTCATAATCCTCTGGAGAAGATGAGGATTCTGCCATGGTCGTGGTGAACACTGCAGTCTTCCCTCCCCTACCCCTCCAAAACTGCACCTACTAATGGGTCTTGCTACAGCAGGGACGCAGGTTGTATGTGTAACACGAAAGGGGAGCTACAGCTGCCGGGAAGCAGTAGAAGAAAGTGGGCTAAGTCTTTCTGTTTTGATGAAGTGATCAGCTGGAGAGTGAGAGACATTCTGGCCGCATGCCAAAATATCAGCTGTGGTCAGCAAGGACTTGTCTTGGGACTGTGTGAAGAGCTGGGCTCTGAGCTCCCCAAGAATATTGTAGTTAGCATGCCCATCCTTTTTAGAGATACTTTAGACTCTATCCCCACTGCTAACTTAACCATGTCTTGTCCTCCCATTCCACTAATTCATGTCAATGCTCTCTAAGCTACTTTTTTACCCAATTGAAATTGGGGGGAAAAAAAAGGGGTACATTTAATGCTCTTTTTGTAAGAGCTAAAATCTTGCCTTCAAGAGCTGAATTTCTTCCTTATGGGTCTTACCGGCCTGATCTGTTAATTGAATCACTCAGAAAGGTCTTTCCCAGATCCTGTAACAGGAACTAAGCTTGAAGCAGCTATTCAGCGCCTGTTCAACATTACGAGGAAAGCCTCACTGCTGCCTGATGCTGTTCAGAGGTTCTTTAAAAGGAATTTTTATCTGTTTTATTTTTTCCCCCTCAGCTGGAGTGGCTTTTAATATTGCAAAATGTGCAGATTTATAATCGTAGCCAGTAGCTACAGAGAGGCGGCCAGTTTTTGCATGGATATGGAGAGGGGACTCCTGTCTTTGCAGCCCTCTCCCTCAGGCCCGGGCAGTAATGAAATCTGCCTCCAGTCGTGCCCATCACTCCGAGGGCCCTGGTGATGCAGACTGGGCATGTTGGAGCATGTTGTGCCTTCCTGTTCCCTCCCTCCACAGCCCCTTCCGCCAGATTTCTTTCCGGTTAAATGTGAGATTGCCAGGTCTTGTTGATGTGCTTGGGTCTCATCCTATCTTGGAATGCGGCCAGACACACTCTCAGACCTGGAAGTTGTAAAGCAGTCTCCTTCAGTTATCCTAACAATAGGAAAACTTGCATTTTTGCAGCTTATAATAAATTTTGCTTACCAAAGCAATATGGAAACGGGGGTGGGTTGACAGCTGTCAGTCTGGTACATTTAATTGATACCAAATTTAGTAAAGTGTTTTTTCGAGTATATAATGAAGGAGGTAGATAACACCCCTGCAATGATATACCTTGGTAGATACACCTTGCAGCGAGAGCAACCTCAGCAGAGTGGCAAGCTTGGTTTCTGAGTTGAGGCACTGAGGAACCTTTGCTAAGTGGTGCCTGAAGTCTTTATGATTTAGCCACATTGTATGACAGTGTTACCCTTAAAAAAAATTTTAAAAACCCAGCATTTTAAATTAGCACTTGGCATGGACAGGTCCAACTAGCAGAAAAAGCAAATTTCTTTGGATGAGATTTTTTTAAAAAATTGTTTGAATTTAACTTCTCCTCTCCCCTCCCAATAAAAGGAAATAAAAATCTATTAATGTTTCTGGCTTCAGGGATGGTGCTGACATGGGAACCCTGGAACAATACGCAGTTTTTTTCTTTGTTAGAGAGCTTTTCTGAGCTTCTTGTTTGGTGCATGTTGGCAGACAATGTCAGTCTCCCACTGAGGTGCTTTGTTTAAGGTGTTTATTTCCATACTCTTAATTCATGCCACCTTTCACAGAGTTTTCTGTCACAGAAGACACTTGTCTTCATTTTGACTTGGTTATTAAGTTGCCTAATGACTGAAGGGAAAATCTTTTGAGCTAGAATAAATTATAGAGGAGTTACTGGGCATTTTTCTCTGCTTCTCACTGCAAATCAATACCACTCCGCAGAGCAAGGGGTGAACACAATGACACTGCATTAAGGAATTAATATTAAAAGCTACTAAAAAAGAATGAAATGGCAAGGAAAATCTTTCACTTAGCCTTAGTAAAGTATTTAGAACCAGAACTCAGAAAAGGCATTTTGGGAGGAGTAGGGAAAATGCTTAAAAAACTTAGCAGGGGTGGAAGGACAGTATTCTCCCTGGTGGTCTTAATTTCTCTTGCAATCTAAATACCATGCTTATTTACTCCATGCTAGTCCTGAATACAAAGAGAGTTCAAAGCAACCTTAGTTAAATACCTTGAATTAATCTGAGCAAGAATGCACTTACATTGTCCTGAAGCCGCTATGCAGGTGTCTCTTGAACTAAGAGAAAGATTTTGTTGCCAGTTTTATTGCTCTGTCTTGAAGCAGCAAAACAAATTCTTTCTCTGAACAAGTATCCTTTTTAATTAGTGTTACTATGTCTTTCTATAAATTAGTAACCCAAATTATTTAATACACTTGGGAGAATTTTCAAATTTCTGTTTAAAAATAATAGTAATTTCATAATTAATTGTAGTTAGTTATAATAAGAAAAGCCCAGAGCCACTGATACTTTGGCGATTCCAAATTATCCATTTTTTCAAGCTGCTACATCTCTGTCAATACAGGAAATTCAAGGAGCATTTTTTGAAAGAAAGCAGGATTAACCTTGTGAAGTTGTACTGAAGCAGGAATAAGGCACTGCCTGCTGCACCTAATGGGACATCAGTATTACACAAGTCCACATGTACAAAAATGAATAAATGGGTTTTCTCTTGAATTCTTACATAACTCATTGCTAGCAGAAGATGTGCTGTGTGTAGGACACGCTCATTTTCTGTATAGTGTAACTGCATATTACCCCAATGTAAGTGACACAGGATTTGGGGGAGAAGGGGGGCATTTCTGTGTTTATGTTAGTGCTCAATCATTTTAAGTGTTCCTAAGCAGAAAATACTTTCTCTGACAAGAAACCTAAAATATTTTCATGTCTTCCACATAAAACTATTCCATAACATATTCCCAAGTGCAGCTTGGAGCTACCAACTGTAGTGCCCTGCTGTTGCTTTATATTATATGGTAACATTAAGGAAATACAGAAACATCTGCATATGTGAATGTCAGGAAAAACTTCCGAAACCAAAAAATGTTTTGTCAGCATCTTCAGTGAAGTCTCCCTATTGTTTTCATTCGTGCTTTAACATATTCTGTAATTTAACTTGGTGTTTGTTGGCGCGACTATTTGATTAACAGCCAGTTAATTAACTTGATTAACAACGGGCCATAACGAGTGCTAACAACTGGAAGGAATCGGTGCCTTCTTTTCCTTCGCCCTTCGGAAACACCTTGGCCCGGGCGGCGGGAAATGGCGGCGGGAGCGCGGCCGCCGCCCCGGCCCGGCCCGGCCCCGGCCCGGTGTCGCCGCGCGCGGCCGCCAGGTGTCGCCCCGGCGCCGCCGCCGCCCTGCCAGTCATGGCGGCCGCCGCGGCCCGCCTCGAGGCCGGAGGTGGCGGGGCCGTTCCCGTCCTCCCCAGGAGAAATGGGGAGCCCCGGTGCTCCCGCTGCGGCTGTGCAGCTAGGGGAGAGCGGGACACGGGGCTGAGTGCTGCCCAAAGACTGCGCAGGGCAGTGGCCCGGAGGATAAGCTTCCTAGAGCAACCTAATGAGTCCCAACATAAGGATGCCCCAAAATCACATGTAATGCAACCCTAGCTTCAAAACCAAGCCAAACCAAACCAAAACCAACACACACAACCCCCCCAAACCAACCACTGAACACAAAAAAAGCCCTGTTTGCACAGGGGTGAGCACACAATAAGCAACTCGTGGTACAGCCCTTCCTTTTCATGGTGGTAACGATGAAGACGTTTAACTACTGAAATAATACCTGCCCTTCCTTTAGTGGTTTGTTTTAGTGATTCAAGCCAAAATTAGGAGTGGCCTGTTCTCAATGACACCCGAAAATTTAGTGCTATGTTGATGGTCTGAAATGAAGATCTTTTGACACTGCATATGAAATATGTGCCACCAACGTTCAGTTGTGGTTTAGCCGGCCGTGGAACTGGGGTCTAATTATATTATTTTAACTCCTGGAGATCATTACTACATTGGGAAATAAAACCCCAAGCATCAGAACTGTCAAGGTATATATTTTGAACTTTTATTTCAAAAGCAATACTAGGTTTTATTTATTTTGGAATGTTTGGCCAGGTTTTCATTATTAAAACTAGACTTGAACAAGGATTTGAGTATTTGAGCAATAATAATAAAGAGGAAAAACACAAACCTATAAATTTTCCAAGTTTTTTAATAGGAAAACTGTTTTGAAACAACTGCCTTATGCAACACAGTGTATCTAGCATATGGATTTAAATAAACATGGGTGCATCTTTCATGCTTGATTTGAAAAAGCGGTCGTCTTGTGGTTCTTTGTTGTTGTTGTTGTTTCTCTTTTCTTTGTAAAAATTCCACTTCCACCACTACTTACCTGATCTTGCTCAGAAAAGGCCTAACCTACCAATGGGTTTGCACAGGCCACCCCACTCAGCTGAACCCTAGATTAGTCTGTTGTCAACTCCAAAAATAGTTTCCTTGTAAATTTTGGTTGCCTGAGCACCTAGACTGTTCATCTCCAGGACCAGGGCTCCCTTGGAAAGCACCTCCACCTCAGACCCCATTTTCCTTTCTCTCCAGCCTGTCAGTGCACGGAATGAAAAATGCTTCCACCTGACAGACATCCGCATACCAGCTTGGCCCTGGATGGTCCTGGCTCTGCTGGTGCTGCTTTTATTGCCCTCGTGTGTCACTTGGGAGGTGACAACACAACTCTGTCAACAGAAGTCCTCCTGATGTGTGGTTGTTGTGTCCCCATTAGAGGGCTCTGTCAGTGGAGCTGTGTTAGAGCTAGTGCAGGGGGTATGTTCAGTAATGGGTACAAATTGAAAGACAGGAAATTTCATCTCCATGTGAGGAAGAAATTCTTGACTGTGAGGGTGACAGAACCCTGGAACAGGCTGCCCAGGGAGGCTGTGGAGTCTCCTTCTCTGGAGAGCTTCCAGACCCGCTTGCATGCCGCCCTGTGCCACGTGCTCTGGGTGTCCCTGCTGGAGCAGGGGCTTGGACTAGATGATCTCTAGAGGTCCCTTCCAACCTCAACCATTCTGTGATTCAGTGAAATTGGGGGGGCGCTTCAGATTTGGGCGAGGTGAAGGCGAGCACCTTTTTACACTATTCTGTGTTTTAAAACTCTTACACAAAAGAAGCTTGTCATAGCATAGTGAGGAATAAAAATGTTCATTTCATCATTGAAATGCGATTATTTTAGAGAGTGCTAATATTATGTGTTATGTTCTGTGTGCTTATTTGAATGTAAAGTGAGAATGGACCTCTCATTTTAACACTCTTCAGTGGCACCTCATGAGATTATTTGACTTGAATTAAATGCTGGAAATTTAGTGAAAATGGCCCTCTAATTTTTCTATATTTCAAGCTTCATTGAGCATATTTGCACTTAGAAGTTGCAAGCAAGATGTTAACATTTCAAATGCTTAAGAATGGAATACATTTCAGCATTAAAAAGTGAAGTAAAATGCCGGCAGACTCATTTTCTATTCCTTCCCTAAGGGACCTTTACAACGCTGTGCTGGTCTCTTGTTGATTTGATTAATGAATATTTTACACATCAGAAAGAAAAAACATTAATTACTGCATTGGGTTGCTGCAATAATTATATGTTTCAAATAAAAACTAATTAATACGTGGAAAAGCATCATAGCACATGAAGTGTGCTTGCAGTTCACTTCATCTAACAGATCATGAGTTGCCTTTCTGACATTTGTAGCTCTGCAGCTACTTACCAGCAATTACGTTCCGTTTGAAAAAAAATAAGTACCTGATTTACAGCATTAACTCTTATAATCTGAGACATGAGCTACTGAGAATATTATGAGGATGCTGTAATCACAGTGGGTAGTAATATTCTCTTAGAGAATTATGGTTGTACCCATACACAGCTCTTAGGTAGTTGCCACTGGAGTTTTGGATGGGTTTTTGGAGGAGGAGATGTAGGGGAAATGCATTAAAATTGGGGTGGTAAAGTGACTTCAACTGAGGGGAGGTGGGACCCACAGTTCAGCCTGTGCTGTGGGTCTGAGGAGGGTTTTAGCATGTTCCATACTATCTAACTGTGTTTAATGCAGATTATTTGGAGACGGAGGATGGAAAGGTTCTCTTAATTTCTGGCAGGGAAAACACTTCTTCAGATTGTTGGTAATAAGGACCACAAGAGTAACAACAGGAATATATTTTGAGGGGAAAAAAATGCAGACATGACTAAGTTGATGAAATGTTTGGGTTGAGAACTTCTGTCCTGGTTGTGTTTGTGCGTTGTGTTATTTATAAATAATAGATGGCCTGGAAAGTTAGGCATGCTCTCATTTTTCACTTTAATTGCCTATTTGAAGACAATATGACAGATGAAAAGGTTGCTTTTAGCTGTATAGTTACAACTAAGGAGCACTGTAGTAACTTGCTAGTGTACAATAATTAACTTAATTGCAGAATTTTGAACATTTTTAAACGATCAGAATCCATGATTGGACTCCATGCATTCTTTCTCTTTTATGTTGTCTAAATCTCAAATTTCTTAGTTATTTTGCAGTGTATTTTTTAACAAAAAGATACTTTTAAGATTTGCAACTCTTCGTGTATTTATTTACATGGCAATTGATTTTTATATTAAAACCTGAAAATGTCAGTTAACCTGCTCAGTTGTGTTGCTCAGCTACTATTTTAATCACGAAATCCTTGGGTTAATGTTGTTGGTTGGTCTGATTCCTGCAGATCTTGTTGCTTTAATTACCGTAGGCTGTTCCTGAGCTCACGTATCCTCATCTTCACGCAGTCCTTCTTGCAGGGATACCCAGGTCTGTGACTGCGCATTGCGGGTTCTGCGGCGATAACACTAAGGGAATAAAAATGCTGAAGTGGTGTCCTGGGCATGGGGACTCTTTTATGTAAAAGCACTTCAGAGTTGTTAAGATGTTAAGATGTTTTGATGTTAAGTTGTTAAGATGTTTTCACTAGCTTTGGTGTGTCAGCAAGCCCTAGGAAAGAGCCACAGTAGATGTTCCCGTTCCTTGTGCCCCTTGCGTGTGTTGAGGGCTGCGTGCTTGCGTCGAGCCACATTTGAGTTCTCAGAGGTTTTTACTAGTCCTGAAGCCACCACTGGGCCGTACGTGGTTGTCTTTGGGCCTGGATTCTGCGCACATGGATTCGTTGGTACAGTTTACAGTTTGGCTGTGATCTGTGGTGCCTTGCCTGGACTTGGGACTTTGCTGTCCTCCCGCTATGATGTGGCAATAGCCATCAGTGAGTGGTCCCGTGGGAAGTATGTGCTCCAGGCCTGCATACAAGACTGACCCAACTGTAATGCAAAGCTGTCTCCCAGTAGTGGAAGGGACTGAAATTTCTTGCCCATCCTGTCAGGCTTTTGTGGCCTGTGCCATTCAGGATCTTTCTTTGTGGCTTTGTGCAGTTACAGGCGATCTGACAGGGAAAATAAACTGCTAGCAGCTGAGAAATTTTTGTGAGTCTTGGATGAATCAAGTGAGGAGAGGATTTAATGCTAAAAAAATAGTTTGGACCTAGAGTATTTGATGAGAATGTAAGAGTTGAAATGGATGCAGGGCTTTCCTGTTTGAACTTGCTCTGCATGTAGCTTCCCTAGGCATCTCTGCGACAATAGATTAATCTGTAAGTGTGAAAGAGCCTGGTATCTAACCTGACTTCCATGCTCGGCTAGGTCCGTCTCTGTGGCATTCAGCACCCTGATCTTGGAAAGAACTTAAACTATGCACAAGAATGAAATGTGTACTTGAAGACAAGTAGATTGTACAAGACTTTTGTAGAATCATGGTAGGCATTTTACCTGTGGTGTTTTGTCCTTGGAGTGCACTGTGTTCTGAGACATGTCGCATCCTTTTTGAAGATGAAGGAAAAGGGAGCAGCTCCTAGTGAATGGAGCCAGGGATGTGCAGCAGCCCCTGCTAGGTTCGGAGTGTACTTTTAAATACAGAAATGTGGAATGCATATGCCATAGGCTGAAAAGCTAAATACTGTTTTCCTGTTTCTATTGAAGGTTTTAGTGGAGGACCATGTTAATGATCTGTAAAATTGTAGTTGTCAGCTATCTTGAAATTCATAAGAAGACCGGAATAACACTGCATCTGGATTTAAAACCATGACATTCATAGTGGCTGCCTTGTAATGGAAATTTTAGGTTGGGCACTGTTTCCAGGAATGCTGAATTTATCTGTTTCTGGCTTTTTAAGCTCCATCCATGTAAGAACAATTGTGGACTTTTGAGGAAGCCAACAGAAATATTTGCCTTGGCGCCCCTAGTGAAGCAAGTCAGCTTCTAGGGAAATGTAGGTTTTAATTAATTAGCTGAGCTGACTTGCATCTGCCAGTTTCTAAGGCCAAGGGAAATAGAGCACAGACACTTGGAGAACTTGCTGGTGGGTAAGAGGAATGTGTGTGCAGATGCAGTAATGAAGCACGGGGTGAGTTTGAAGAACCTTTGTGTGTTGGTAGTTGAGCACTCCGTAATGTTGTTTACACGCACTGATTTTGTACTGAATGGTGAGATGATCAGGGACATCCCCAGGTGACCAGGGAAAAGATAGTGCTGGAAGGCCTTGATCCTTGTGAATATGAGTTACACTGGGGGCGTTTTGTTGCTCTTTTGAAGATTAAAGAGGAAAAGGCAGGTAATACCATTGGGATGACAAGGGGAGTTTTATATTTTTCGCTGTTGTTGCAACTCTTCTGCTTAATTAATGGTGTGGCTGGTAGTAGATACATTTTTCAAGCCCCAGATTTTAGATAACGTATTGATCGTTTCTTTTTTTCTTTCCAGAAATATAGTATCTACAACTTCAGTGAAATCTCTTGGAGTGTAACAGGTATTGAACAACCTTGAAAATCCAGTCACGTCATTTCTATGTGAACAGGGATTCAGATGTCCTTTTGGGGTACCTGGACTCTTGTCAGTCTTGACATCAGCATTTGTCTATTCACTGGTAGTGCAGTGGGGTACAGACACTACTGGGTGCATCAGTCCTAATGGGCTGTTGAAGAGATTGCAGAGTAGTTTAAATTTTGCCTCTTTTACATTAAAATATTTTCTTGTTAGATTCTCTTTATGAATTAGCATGTTTTCTTGTGACTGTAAGAAAGCTTTGCAGTTGTAAAAGTTTGGTGGCACTTTGCTGTCTGCTCTTTATAGGTGAAAAATGGCTTTTCTCTGTGATTTAAATGCAGGACCTTTTATAAAAAATATCTATGATAATTTTCCTGTATGATGGTATGGCAAAACTAATATTTCCATATATAATAAGAAAGATATGGTATGTATTCTGTGCAGAAATCTTCATGCAAAAGAAAATAAGTGCATTATGAAGATAGTACTTAAACAGGATGAGTATTCTTTTTGGTTGTCATTTCTTCCTTTAAAATAATTTGCCAGTTTAGAATTTTGCAGTATTTCCAAGTTGTAAGCTTTTTCTGCATAGTATGGTGCAATTTAGTAGTATTTGCTTAGTTCCATAGCGATTCATTTTGTTAGAACAGCACAGAAAAATAGCTGGCTTCATCTGAACACTTTAAAAATGGCATAGTGCAGTTTATAGTCTTAGTCTTAATTGTTCGTATTTCTTGTCAGGTTGTCAGTATGAAACATGGTGTGGATGTGAAAAATTGAAGTGTGCCTAATCCCAGAGATGATTAGTTGGGTAGTGTGAATGTTTACACATACATTTTAGCATTTTAGTAGTATAGTTTTCAATATTTAACATCATAGTAAAATAAGAGAATAACTCAAAAAAAATCCCAGTGTTACAGAACATACATAATGGTATATAATGTTTACTCTCTTTTCTTTATAAAATAAACACATTGGAATGTAATGCTTACGAAAAGAAAGCTGTAGTGAGGGCAGCTAGTGTGCAGTGGGTGATGATATGTAGTATTAGATTTAAGGTGATTCGGTATATGGAAAAAATAATGAAGTAGTGAGTCTTAAATATCCCATACATTTGCAGAACCAACTTTTGATCAAAACAAAATCTGTAGTTGTTTTTGTGTGCACGGACTGTGGATATTTTTCTTTCCTTGTAAGACCAAGAGAGCCCAGCTGAGCTGTAGTTGTACTGCTTAAACACTTTTCAAAAGGACATTTGTCATCTGTGGATATGTTTAATCCATTATAGGTGTCTATTTGGAAAGTATTTAGGCTACTTAGGCTGACGACCATGTTTGAAGAAACAGTGACCAGATCGTTCACAGAGCCATTCTGGGAGACTGAGAAAAGATCAAAAGGAAGACTTGTCTGATACCCTGCAGAGCAGGAGGTTATGCAGTATTTCTTGGGAAAAAAAAGTGCTTTTGGGTGTCATCATCTACTTCAGAAACTGTGGCTTCGTGTGTCATTAAAACACTGTGGTGTCTGTGGATGTCCTTAGGTTTGAAAGAGAAGAACCTTGTCAGTTTAAGTTCAAAGGTTGTTCCCAGCATCAGGGAATAGGACTACTTCATCTCGCCATCAACTGTCCTAAAAAACACAATATGCTGACTTTTTTTCTGTCTTCTTTTTTTTCCCCCCAGGAATAGCAGTCATTTCTTGTAGTTATCAGGAGTGCACGTTTGCTCTGAGCTTGGCAGTACGCTAACATCCAGAAAATTAAGTAGAGACTGTCTGCAATGAAGGCAAGATACAATGAGAAGAAAAATAAACGTCGAGAGTAGCAGGGAAACTGGTGCAAAGGGCAGTGTTAGGGAAAAAACACGTGTGTGTTCTTTGCAATGCAGGAGGACCAAGTGGTTACGCACATCTCTGGTGTTTGACTTGTTTATATGTCAGGACATTTTGAGGCCAGGGAAGTGGGCTGGCTGACAGGGCAGGAGCGAAAGGCAAGGAAGGAAGGACAAGTAGAGCAAAAAGGTGTTTTGTGAAGGGCAGATGGGAAGGAGAGGACAGGAAAGGGAAGGGTCCTGGCTGAGGACCGGAGCATGAAGGCAGGATGAGCGCCGTGAGGCACGGAGGAACAAACTGTTGATGTTGTAGGAGGGTGACAGAGAAGTGAGTCGCAGTGAGCACCACTGCAGGGTGCAGAGCAGGAACAAGTCTCTCGTCAGAGCAGGGAGGCATCGAGAAAAATAACTGCAGTTTTCCAGTTTTCCATAGATGGGAGTCCCTCGCCCGTGTTTGATGGGTGCTGCCTGCATGGCCTCCGGGCCCGCGCGGGCTGGTGCCCCTGCTGCCCTCTCCCAGCGCCCTCATGTGCCAGCCCCACAGCACCAGCCCCACAGTGTAGTTGCTGCTTTGTCCTTCCCGGGCTTCCCTTTTCCTCCCATGGTGAGGATGGCGATGGGGAGGAGGCCGTGTCACAGGCCACCGTGGCTCCTCAGACAGCACCATGCTGGGTGCAGGCAGCCACGGTGGTGCCCATGGGTTGTGGTTCCTCCCAGCAAGGACAGAGTCATCTTGACCCAGCCGAGAAAGGATCCCGCGGCCGAACTGGCCTGCTGTGCTCCATGGAGCTGCGGAGCAGGAGCAGAGGGCCAGCAGTGCCGGCGAGGGAGCCTGGCAGTTACAGCTGGGGAAGAGCAGTAACATCCGCGGGATCGGGTAGCTCCCGATTGCGGCGCGGAAGCAAAGGCGACGTTCTCGCGACTGCAGCCCATGAAGTGGCCGTGTCAGGAAGAGAAACGTGAAGCGTTTTGAGTGCTGAGTTCACGCAGGATTTTCTTGGCCATCGTCCTGGCTCGTTTTTCAGTGGGTTGGGGGATGTGCCACGACCGGCCCGCACTTCGAGTGCCATCAGATGCATGGAGTGGGGCAATGGAGAGCAGGCGTCAGGCAGCCCCGGCTGCGGAGACCGAGGCGCCGGTGCCAGCTCACAGGGTCTGGGCTGTGACAACCTCCTCCTACAAGGACTATGGGCTTCCCTGTGCTCGCCTGGCGCTGGGATGGCAGCTGGCAGGCATGCGGCTGCCGCGCTCTTCACGTGAGCTTCCCCTCGTGCTCTGATGTAAACCAGGCCCGGCTCGGCCTCGCTCAGGCGCAGAAACTATTCTTTATAGGCGGAGGTTAATCCCATTTAAGAACTGGATTAGCAGAGACGTAGGCACTTAACCACAGATGCCTTCCCTTGGGCTGAAGCAGATAGTCCTGTCTGGGATTAATGCTCTGCAGACCCTCTGTATGAAGGCAGTTTCGTGCCAGGCCTTGCGCTGCGGCAGCATAAATCTGTAACAGAGCTCTCCACGACGGCCTGCTAAACGGCTCCAGGCCTGGGGGAGACAGAGACAAGTCAGAGATCTTCCTGTGGTGCGAGCTGAGCTTCCTCCCAGAAGCGAATTATAAAGATAACGATTATAAAAGACACCTGATGCTTCGCCAGCACTTAGTGCAGATGCTCCTCGGGGACGGGAAGGGCCCATGTCTCTGCGGGGTAATAGGCTTGGGTTTATCGCTCGTCTGGGCGCTTTGGGTTATCGCTTGTCTTGGCACTTGGACTTTTATCGCCGTTCTCTGCACTTCCTTAGAGGTATTTATCTCTGTGTGGGCATATTGATAAGGCTTGGGAACAGATCTGGGAGCCTGAGCTTCGCAGGAACAAATGCAGGAAGGAAGATGAGCATCAGTGTGAGCTCTGTGTGGAGCCGGGGGATGCTCCCTGCGACTGCGGCGCCTGCCGCAAGCCCAGGCCCTGTTCGCTCCAGCTTAAAGTCTCCCTTAAGGCAGGGCAGCAGGGGCGAATTCCACAACAATTGTTGGGGATTTCTGTTTTCTTTCATATTTTAAAACAACTATCTAACAACTTCAACAAAAAAACTAAATTTAATAAGTCAAACAAATGTGGTTGTCGGGTTCACGAGCTTTTCACCATTAATATTGGTTAAAGTTGTAGGGTGAGATCAGATTGAGTCAGAGCAGTCTAAAATACAGGTCTGACTAGGGGGTTTTTGCTTGTTGGGTTGTTCTTGTCTTCCCCCCTACTCCAAGTAGATGCAATATTCTCAGGAATATAAGATGGATAGCAGGAGTGCTATAGGGAAACATTTACTAAAAAAATCTTTTTTTGTTCTTTATAGTTAAAAAGTAAAAAAGTATAGTTAAAAAGTAAAAGTTGCTCCCGGAATTCTTTTGAAGTCACGCATAAAATATTTAGTTAATGACTGCATAGTATTATGCACCTGCATGATACACATTTCGCATTGGGAGCTTTGGAAAACTGTTTATAGCGAATGCTTAAAGATGCATTTCTGTGATGCAGAGCTACATTGTATTTGAAACTCCAAGAAAATCCTATTTTTTAATATATTTTTTAAATACTGCTTAAATATGGTTATACTGCCCTGTTTTTGGCTTCAGAAACTTGAACTAATTCTGCTTCTTTGCTGGATAAAACCAAACTTAACTGAGAAGGCCTGATGGAAATAGGGATTTAAAGCATATTCTTTCACTTGAATGAGGAAGTTGGCACTAGAGGGAGTTGGGTGATGTTTGCTTCAGGGCTTCCAATCAGCAGTGCTCTGCTGGCATTTGGCATTTTGCTTCAGGTGTGTTTTTGTATGACTCTTATGATCAAGAACTTAAAAAAAAAAAAAAGCTCTAGAGAAGGGAGAAAAAGAAAAACTGAGATGTAGAAGAAAAATATCAAATCCCAGGCAAAGAGGTTTAGTCGGTCTTCAAATGCCTCAGAACATGTCAACCAAGTTTAGAAATTGCTACATTAAAAGAAGAAAGATTGATTATTTTAAGACTGTAAATCTTGGGAACCGGTTAAAACCAATATTTATGACAGAGATTATCAAAGTTTGTGAGATCACTGGAAATCATATCACTGTTGATGTTGGAAATTCCTGTGTAACGTAATGCAATGCTGGGTTTATGAATGAATAAATAAATGACTGTGCAGTGTTAAGCAGATTCTGTAAGAGTAAACTGGGCGGAGCTGTTTTATAGCTCTTGTCTCCACTTAAGTTACTTTGCAGTATACAGTCCCATATGTTTCAGAATAAATGCCAAAACCTCAAATATACTCATTTATTTATTTTTATTTTTTGCAGATACAGACCCACGTGTATTAGAGAAACAAGAACTTCAACAGCCAACATATGTTGCTCTAAGTTACATTAACAGGTAAGCATGCCTTTTTTTCAGGTGTAGCTGATCGTGGTTTGCCCAACCTGTATATAAATGCATATATCAGAATGGTATGTTCATGTGTGTTTTAGGCGTCTCATACTGTATGACACAGTGATGATACATGCTTTGCAAAGAGAGATGAAATAAAACCTGAATAAATTCTTTGTCACTATTCTAAAGGGCACAAGCAGCTGCTGAGTTATAGAACAATTCTTCTTCTGACTTCTCTTTTTTTGGTCAAACAGTGTTTTAATCCTCAATAAACATTATACTCATAGTATAACTGATTTAAAATCTTTTTTTTTTTCTTATCTAGGTAAATCAGCATGTTGCCCTTCTAGGGTTAATGTGCCTTCCTTTACATACTGTTTTTGGTTATCTGTACTATGTTTGAATGTTAGTCAGTTGCTTTTTGCAAATGGATTTATATGAAAACTATTCTCTGTGAGGTTGTTGGCTTTTATTCATGGAATGCCAGTATCCTTTGTATCTTTGTTCTAAAGGAGACTGAATTACAAACTTGGAGATTAACACAAATAAAACTCAGAATACACTGAATTAATTTGAACTTTCATGAGTTTTACCTAAAATTTTGCATTTTAATTCTACTTCATGTTAAAAATGAAAAACTTTTAAAAACAGAGAATCCTCTGTAATCCTCTCTGTAGCATCTGCTGTAGACAAAGGGTTTCAGTGAAGAAGAAAATGAACCGATGTTCACTTGGTGACGTAAATTTGCTCTGCTCTGTGAGACCAAGTGTGGTTGAGAGTAGCTGGTATTGACACCATCTCCTCTTTGGCTGGTGCCTGTTGTTTTTCCTGGAGACAGCCTCACCCTTGAAAGCATATTTGGAAATTAACACAACCCTTTAACACTTCTCTCTGTTGATCTCATCTAATGTGTTTAAAAAAAAAATAGACAATATGCAGGCTTGCTATGTTATCATATATATTGGTATGTTTCCCTCCTATATACTGGGCGTTTTCTGTTGCTGCTTCTGTGATTATTTTGCATGGTGTGAAGGCGAGGAGAGCTTCTTAAAAACTGGGGAGAAGCTGGTGTGGGACAACAGAAAGACCCTCAGGATTTGTTTGGCTCAGAATTCAAAAAACTCTTTTAAAGCAGTTTGGAAGTGACGCCTTGTCTGGGTTTCAGGATTTTGGTGTCCTTTATAATTGAATTCCAAGTGACTGAAGCAGTTCTAGTTAGTCACTATGAATTTTACCCAAACTTTCTTCCATTTTTAATTTTGAGAAATAAAATTCCACAAATCTGTGGAATTGACTTGTGTAGTTCCTTTTTTTTTTTTTGAAAAAGGCTTGAAACCAGAGTAAACAAAATCTTCAGCGACTCTTGTTTTATTTAAACCACTCTGCTGCTATTTAATTGCTCTTTTAATAGTATTTTAATTTTTTTCTGGAGTGCTGATGCCTTTCCCTGAACCACCTGCTCTGCACAGCTCACGCTCTTGAGGGAGCAGCAATATCCATTACACTCTGTGCATGCCTTTCTATTTCCCACTACATATGCCAGAACTCGAGTTCTGCTTTGTTGTCCCGGGCTATGAACTCAGATTTTGTAGCCTAATACATGCCATAAACATGTTGCATACTGTTAAGCATCAAACACCAGATACGGCTGCTCTTTTTTTAAACCCCTGCTTTTATGGTTTCCAAGTAGAACAGAACTGTAGCTCGGTTCCTGCTGTGAGTTCCAGACCTTAAAGCAATCTTCCTCCACAGGTTTGTGTATTCAATATGTTCTGTGCGGGCCACACGTTCTCATGGAGCTGGGGGAAAGAGGGACTTCTGATTCTCAGCAATTGTCAAATTGCGTGATAAGATACTTGATAATACAGATGTTGTGGTAGAGACAAAAATACAGAATGGGTAGAAATGCCTCGTGCTGCACCCATTGCCCTGCTGTTACGCACTGAAACATCCACATAAATCTGGGTCATCTGGTTTGCTAACTGGGAAGATAAAGTGTCAGTAAGGCAGATAGTGGGGAAAGAAAGGTGCAGGGATTTTTGACTGCAGTCTGGAAACATGTTCTTGTTCCCATTTCCGTCTACTCATGGATTTTCTCAGCCTTATTCATATGGCAATGTTGTGTGTGCGCTGCAGTCGGAAACAGCCCTCAAGTTGTGGACATCTGAATCTTTAAGACCAAGGCTCTGTCTCTGCCCATGATTTACTGCAATTACAGCCTTCAGTAACTGCACCCAGATGGAGTTTCCAGAGTGTGTGATGCTCATGCAGACAGATAACATTCCTTTTCAAACCAATGGATGAAATATAAATTATAGCCCATCATGGTTTATGATCTCCACATCAAACACTTGTACCAGTGACTGGCAGAAGGCAACAAACCCTCCCTCAGCCCAGCGCAGCCGTGGCGCGCCTGCCAGGGCTGCTGCTGCTTGCTTCCTATTTACTTAGCTCCTTACTTATTTAGAAGTCAGAATTGGCCTCAGGAGGGAAGAGCCCTGCCAAGGCAGATGCCGCTCATGTGCTTCCCCCCTATAAACACGGGAGCAGTTTGTCTGCACAGTGCTCGGCAGCGCCGGGATGCTGGCGGCAGCGCCGGCCCCAGGGCTCCTTTGCAGCAGCCTCCAGCACTTGTGTGAGTCGTTTCCTTTGCCTAGGGACTGAGACACCTGTTTCCCATTGCTTGGAAACACTGCAGTTTCTGGCAGTAGTTTATGTTGGGTATGTCTTGTATTTATAGCTTTGAGTTAATTATCATCGTTACAAATAAAGAGCATTTTGCTCGGGCTTTGTGGGAACATCTTCACTTATATTGAGGCTCTGAGTGTGGGACTTTGGTGGAGATGGCTCTTAGGTTTGCCATAGATTGCCATGTTTCTTTAAAAACAAAGGGAAACTCCCAGCTTTATTAGAACATATGAAAAAACAGGTGAAAACATATGAAAACACCAAAGTTCTCTTGCCTAAAACAACAGTGCAAATTAGAGCATTAAAAAAGAAAAAAAAAAAAGCTTCAATTTCAAAACTTTAATTGTAAAGAATTTTCCCCTCATTCATGGTATAAAGGAGGTATTCTTTTTATTTGGGATGCAGTGCATCAGCAGTAGGAAGCCAGTTAGGAGGCACTTGCAACTTTAACAAAACTTTGTGAGTTGTGTAGTGTTTCTATTGCAAATCACGTCCAGCTTGCACAGGGGAAATGTAAGCAAAGTTTAAAATCAAGTTTCAGAGGCTACCAAAATACTTTTAATATGCATTAACCCTTGCTTCTTTTAATGGAGATTTCCCATTGGTTTAATTGGATAACACAATAAAGATTTCAATAAAAGAGTTTCTAACATAAATCTTGAAAGGATTTACAGACCATTAAGACAAATGTTTTTAGTGATGTCTCTGGGCTGTCTATGGATGAGGTTGTTGAATATCTTAAAAGTTTATTCCTGTGCAAACTGGAGCACAAATAAGACCTGTGATCAAACCTGATCATCATTCTTGGGTGAGCAGATTTTCCTTTCTGTGTGTGGGCTTGATTTAAATTCCTGTTAATGTGGAAGCACATTTCTAAGCAATTCTTGACATCTTTGCTCCCGTCTTCCTCTTTTGCTTTTAACTAGCAAGATTTTGCCTCTCTGTTGCCACTGTAAAATGCAGTAGGCTCCAGACTTCTTCCCCCATTCTCTTCTCCTTTCAATGACCATTTGACTCTGCAAAAAAAAATTATCCAACTCAGCTTTCCTTGTAATAATTTCCTTTGCTTTGTTGGAAGCAGAATCCGTAATTTCCATGAACACATGCATCTGTGAAAAGAATTAATTGAATATAAAACTCCAATTGCAGACTGTCCACGTGTCTTATCTAGCTCACTAATTTTAGTTCTGCTGTTAATTGTTTTTCCAGAAGTAAAATTAATAGCTAATGTCATAGGATTTCCTCATGCTCATTTGAAAGTTATTTTAAAAAGTGGTAAGTATTGGTAGTGATATATTTAATATTCGGGGTGTTACTAATGGAATAACATGAAAAGTGTTGGGAATTTGAAGGTGTTGGCCTGGGGACTGTGTCTGCATGGTGCCTAGCAGAGCACCCAAGCCCCGTGTGCTTACGGGTCCTGTATTTCTTTGGCACTTTCTTACTCATGTCTTACACCTCAATGCTCTACTAAAATAACTTCCCTTATTGATGTATTTTTGCTCAAAACTGCCATAGCTATATTGAATGACTAGCTATGTCAAGGAATAGTGATGACAATAGGTAAATAAATTATAGTTTATCTCGTATTTCAGACTTTGCCCTAAAATGTAGCATCTTTGTTCTTCTCATACCAGCCAGTGCCTTCTCCCTTTTTCTACAGGTTCTTAAAGAAATAATACCCTTCCTTCTGGATCAAAATTCAAATTGTCCAAGGATAAAAAAAGTAGTGCCAGAAAATTGTTTTATGTTGAAATCCAGGCAGAAGCTGCTTCAGGGTCACCAAACTTGACCCCAAAATGGCTTTCTAGTAAAATGCAAGGATTTTTGAAGTATTTCTTTTATTTGGTAGCATGTAAATTGGGTGGCTTTTTCAGAAGGTATATGAAAAATGGAGCAATTCTGAAACAGTGCGTGTACTTGCTCTAAAATAAATAGTTGCTACAACATTCAGTTGTTAAGCAGGAGAACACACTTTAAATCGAGTCTTCTTAATTCAGACCTTAGGTTTCAACATTGCTCATATTATTGATGGTGCAGTCTGGATCTATGGTGGCATTCTGCAATGAAATAGATAAAAAACATGTGAAAGCTGATTGCAACCTGAAATTATAAACTAAATTTGGCTTTTTGAATGAAAAAGCAATTCAAACATGGAAGTAGCTAAGGAGAAACTTTCCATTGCTGGACCACCTGTTGATATTTGAACTTTTGCATAGTGTTTAGCATCACAGGTTTTGTCCTTTGTGTTATTTTTTTTCCTATAGCATAATCCTGTCTTATTAAGTATCGTGGTTCCATCAGGCTATTGATTC